ATTGTGAGGTGGGTGAAGTGAAAAGAGGAAAAAAAATAAAAAAAAAAATAAACTAAGAAAAAAAAACTAAATAAGGAAAGAGAGGGAAAGAGGGTACCTTGAGAGGGTTGAGGAGGAGATGAAAAGGGGAAAATTTAAGGGTGTTGGGGAAGAAGATGAGAGGGAGTAGGGTTGGGTAAATTACGTATTGTGAGAAGAGAGCTGACAAGAGGTTATAAGAAATAGAAAATAAGTAAAAAAAAAAAAAATTAAAAAAAATATATATGTAGGAGGTTCACAGCGCGTAAGCGCTGTGTTTCTGCCAACTCGGGTAGAACGCAGCGCGCAAAAAAACAGGTAGCAGCTCCCTGGAGGGGTGCCTCCAATAGGGGGCCGAGGTGTGTGAGGTCCTGGCTTTCCAAAGCCAGGCTTTCCAGCAGGTTTGTCGTTATTAATAGTTGTGTCGTCCAGTTGTGGTGCCCATGGCCATGATCATTGTTTTTTAATATTTGCTGTCAAAAGGTACATTTGAAGATCTGAAATTCAAATTGGCATCACTTATGACCTCTATACTTCGTTATATTTTGTAAAACCCGTGTCACATAATGACCATAAAGAGATTTGTGGTTATGTGGTTAATTGTGACTAACGGTTTTTAATGTTCTGACATTGTGATGAATCATCTAATTCTTAGTAGTACTTTTTATGATTATTTTTATCACATTTAAATGCATGGAGGTGGCATTTTCTTATGAGATAAGGGATTGTAACTACATTAGAAATCGAGGTCTTTTGACTCAATTTAGATTGTGGTCAATCAAATGAGTGGAAGCCCTTATTTGATACCCATTATTTATAAAATGCATTTTTTTCCTCTTCTTTTCAACCACACATTTTTAATAAAATCATATTACATATAAATCTAAATTTTTTTCTTATTTTTAATCACACATTGTTCATCTCAAAAGAAATGGAGCTCAAACATAGTTTTTTTTTTTTTTTTTTTTTTTTTTTAAAAGATTCCCAAGCTTGTAATATGCATACAAGTTGATGGAGATTAGTTGTTTCTTTTTCGTTTGTTTGTTTGCTATTTTTTCCCTTTTTTTGGGTTTCCAACTTTTTTAGTTTATTGCATTCTTATTTTCAAATTAACATAAAATATTCCTAATTATAATTTCTCTCTAAAGTTTTCTTTAAGATAGAGTAAATATTCATTTACCCATTGTGTTTTTAAATAAGCAAAACAAATAATACTGCGAAAATGCAATTAATATTTGAATCTTATTTCAAAACAAGTTAACTATCTTTTGGACAAAAATCATGCTTAAAGACAATATTTTTCAATCAATAAAATGTTAAAAATAAGAATGTGATAAAGAAAAAAATGTTAAGAATATAAGTATGATAATGAATAAATGTTAATGACCTTTAATATAGCTAAAATATGGTGAATTATTAAAAAAAATGTGGTATGAATATAATCTACCTTTTAATAAAAATACTTTTTAAAATGTTCTCTTAAAGTCACTTTTATACTATTTACTATCATCTTTTGTTCTTCAATCCATTTTGTTTGTATTGGGTTAGAGTCTCTTCATCAATAGCAGTGGAGTTAGAGGAGGGCCCCTTTTTTAGATCCATCCCATCGAGAGAATTCATATTCGAAAGTCCCCAACAAAAGGGAAGAGAGAATTTTGAATGGAATTTGCTCCTGTAACAGGGAGGCGGTTCGCCTCCCTGATAGGAGCCCCACAATTGGGGTGGGGCCCGCAAAAAAATGGGACCCCCCTATTTGTTGGGTTCGGTCAGGGGCAGTCAACCTTCCTATTGCTGTAGCAAAGTCCTTTTTAAACACTTTACTCTAATTGCACATAGCACGAAAGAAGCTTGGAGTGCCACAGTAAGTCAAAATTTCACCTTTTGAAAGAGCGGTATAAATAATTGACCTTGTATCATTTACTCCATCTTTGGTTTTAACTAAAAGATAAATTAACAATTAACTTCAATTACACATTTCAAAATATTTACAATTTTTACTAATTTTTAAGTCATATATATTCATCATTTTTCTATCAAAATTTACTAAAATTGATTTCTAACAAAATAGGGTAGTGGCTTAAAACAGCGACACAAAAATCTTGGAATTTTCAAGAATTTGTTGAGTAGACAAATTGGCATGACGTGTAGTTTGGTTTGAACCATAAGTGTATATTGCATAGGATAAGGCTAGAGAAAATAGATTAAAGGCAAAATAGATTATGACTCTCTCTAAAAAGTAAAAATGACATCCGATCTACTTTGCTCTTATTTAAATTAATATAAATTAATTGTAAGACACAGCAGGGCGTACGTTTTTCTTTCTTACATATTTAAAATGAAGCCTAAATAAGAAAGAAAGTTGTTGTTATTGTTAATGGCCTGTTTGACATGACTTTTAAAAAATAAAAAAGAGTTTTATAAGGCCCAAAACTTGCTTTTGAATTCGTTTGAATAATTTTATGAAAGTACTTCTAGTAGCTAAAAGAATTTTTAGAACAAGTTAGTTCAATATAACTTCATCTAAAAATACTTCTAAACAAAAATTTTATCGCACGAGCTAGTCAGAAGGTAGCGTAAGCGTAGCTTATGTCCATTCCCATTTCCTTGGAAGGAATCTCCGGCCTAGCTAATATCGGTGAGCCTCTTCCTTAATGAATGCAATTCCCTTCAAAACTCTCTATTTCTGACCCTTGCCATTAGTTAGCTCGCACTTCCCTTATGGGTGTAACCAACTTGGATCCGCTAAACGATCTGCTTCATGTGGACGCTTAGAGTCTGGCAACTTGATGAGATTTATTCACCCAGACAACCAACACTTAGGCATTTATAGGGAACCTTTCCCTAACCATAGTCGTGACAACCCTAGAATCAACTCAAACCTTTCTATTGATTGGCTATGAAAGGGGCGTCTTCTAAGGCTCGTTCTCATCGAAGAACTTCTCTAAAGAATAAAGAATGGGGATTGCGTACGCCCCCAACAATTTGAGAAAACTATAGGAAACGAAAGTCATGTCGAACATGTCCTAAGAATAGTTAGATAATAGTCAGCTATTCTTCCTTTTTTTTTCTTTTTCTTTTTCTTGATCCGTTGAATGATGTCTGAATGTAGTATACCAAATTGTTCATGATGAGAAAATCGGAAAATAAAACAAAACAATGAAAGGTTAATTCAAGAAAATTCAAACCTCTAAACTATTAGTTTTCGAGAAATTAATAAACTCTCAAATACGTTGTCAAAATAATTCATTCCACACCATTGGCTGACTCTCTTTAGATAAAAGTAAAATTACATGATTATTCTCACTAAGACACATTAACCCTCTAACATAATAAAATCAAATCACATAATTAGCAAAGTGGATGACCATGACTTCTGATATAGGTTGGTAGAGGAAACTGCCCTCGACGGCAAGCAAGATGGATCACAGCACTTCGACGCGAGGTCGTCGACCCCCTAGGAGCGCTCCACCACTACCTCCAGAGAGCGCTCTACCACTACGCGAGGTCGTCGACCCCCTAGGGGAGCTCCACCACTACCTCCAGGGGGCGTTCTACCACTACGCAAGGTTATCGACCCCCCTAGGGGCGCTCTACTACTACGCGAGGTCTACAACTGGCATGGGACTGCCTATCCAAACACTTAACCATAAAACTCCTAGTGAATTAACTAGGTTCCATGGCCGCTAATACGGAAACAATTTTCAGGCGGGAAACTAGAGACCCCCCCACTCAGAACGTGGGCATAGTGGGAACGCCAACATGGGACACGTGGCACCACATCCGCCCAGCGGTTATCCGGCCCCTAATGTCTATAAATACCTCCGGACGCAACACAGGAAAAAGGTTTTCTCTCTCTATCTCTCTTTTTTACCATTAGAATTCCAATCACATTTTTTCAAGCCTATAAACTAATTCTCACACCGGAGGTAAAACAGGGGAGGAAGTCCCGCCTTCATTTTTCAGGTCATATATACTGGACGGAGTAGACAAAACGCCGAGCACTACCAGGCAAATAGGAGGGTGTTGGTCCACCACCATCTCATTGGCGCTGTTTGTGGGAAACTATTTGAACTAAAAAGCCATGTCAAGAAGACGAACAAGGAGTGATACTCGCCTGGTTGGGAATACGGCAGAGTTAGAGTCAGTTGCAAGGGGACGTGAGCCGTCGTCGCCCTCGCAGTATGTGACGCAGAGTCAATTCAGCGCTTTGGAGACTCAGTTGGCAGCAATGAATGCACTCCTACAGGACCAGTCGTAGAGAGCCACTGTCTCACCATTGAGCCCGACGAAAATGACGAGCCAGCAACCGCCTCAAGCGCCACCCGCAGTTGTCCCGCCCATCTCTCGACGGGGGGCGGGAGATGCGAGGGCCCCAAAAATCGAAGCTCAACAGCCCCTGCAAACCATGGTAGACCTGGAACAAAAGATGGAGGAAATCATGGCCCAGAAGATAGATGATGCCTTGTCTAAGAGAAATGATAGGCAGAGACAGATGGTTTTGGAAGAAGACCCGTTCGCACTAAAAATCATGGCTGTCCCCTTGCCTAAAGGTTTCAAACAGCCCATGATAGAAGCATATGACAGAGTCACGGACCCGCTCGACCAGTTACGAACCTTCGTAGATCTGATGAGACTTTATGCCGCCCCGGATGCGGTGATGTGCCGATCCTTTCCCCCACACTCAGGAGGGAGGCTAGGGACTGGGTAGCGACCTTGGCCCCGGGGTCCATCAAGTCATTTGATGAGCTCTCCAGGAGCTTTGTAGCTTACTTCCTAAGCAGCAAGAGAAAGAGGAAGACAGCCATTGGGTTGATGCAGGTCGTACAGGACAAGGACGAGTCATTGTAGGAATACTTAGCTAAGTTCACCCGGGCAACTCTCGGCATAAGAGACCTGCAAATGTCTGCGGTGGTTACCGCCTTGATGAATGGAACGCGAAACCGGGCCTTTAAGATGTCACTCTCCAAGAACCCCCAGAATCAATGCATGACCTATTGAAGAAGGGAGACAAGTATGTCGATGCGGAGGAAGCAGAGAAGATAACTAAAAATCTCAGGGATGGAAGGAAGGCAGAAGTTCATAAGCAAAAAACATACGACGAGCAAAAGCACACTAATAAGAACAAGCCGAAGAATGAACGCATGAACAAGGGTTATGCCCAAGACCGGCCGGTCAGGCAGAAGCGAGAGGAGGTCAAGACACCCACCCCTTTGAACATTCCACGTACAAAGTTATTGATGGAAATACAGCACATGAAAGAGTTCGAATGGCCTAAACTGATGCTAACTCCTTCCAGCAAGAGAAATCAAAGTAAGTACTGCCATTTTCACAGAGATCACGGGCATGATACCAAAGAATGCCTACAATTAAAGGAAGAAATTGAGCGCCTGCTAAGATGGGGACTATTGGCTAGGTATGTGAAAAATGACAAGGGCAAGCAAAGGCTCAAAGGTCTACCCCCACCGAGGGTAGGAGTGATAAACATGATCATCGGAGGAATAGCATCAGGCGGCGACTCAAATTCGGCTAGAAAAAGCTATGCGCGTTCCGCAAGGGCCTGCTCTATTAAAAAAAAAAAGCAAGATTCAACCAGAGCATTACTTTCGATGAAGGGGACTTGATTGGTGTGACACACCCCCATAATGACGCCTTAGTAATAGTAGGCGATATAGTGGATTTTGACGTGAAAAAGGTGTTAGTCGACGGAGGAAGTGCGGCAAATGTCCTCACCTGGGATGCCTTCTTGGGTCTAAAAGTTTCCCAAGAGAAGTTGAAGATGGTGACTACCCCTTATAAGGCTTTGGAGGGGCAATAGTGATATCGGAGGGGACTGTGGAGCTTTCAGTCACGCTAGGGATGTACCCGGCGACAGTGGTCATCGTGACTAATTTCTTGGTTGTCAAGACCCCCATGGCCTACAACGCTATTTACGGCCCAACATTACTAAATGCAGCTGGCGCGGTCCCATCGACCTATTATCAAGTTATGAAGTTTCCAACCAATAGGGGAATCGGGAGCGTGCGAGGGGACCAGCAAGCATCAAGAAAGTGCTATGTGGATAGTATACAAGCCAAAGGCTCACCATCAGTCATGATGCTGGATGTGAAACTCCCGAGGGAGCGGATCGAACCGCTCGATATGATTGAAAAAATCTTTATTGCTGAAGGACGGGAGTTTAGTGTTGGAACAGGTTTGGGATCCGAAGAGAAGGAAAAATTGGCAAGGTTTCTAGCCGGTAACATGGATGTTTTCGCTTGGGGCCCAGAGGATATCCCAGGAATTAGCCCGACCGTCGCACAGCACCACCTCGGTGTCCAACCAGGGGCTAAGCCAGTGAAGCAGAAAAAAAGAAATCTCGCCCCCGAGAGGCAGGCTGTGGCCAGAGCGGAGGTAGAAAAACTACTATAGGCGAGTTTCATCCGAGAAGTGCAGTACCCCGAGTGGTTGGCAAACATTGTACTTGTGGAGAAGTCAAACGAAAAGTGGCGCATGTGTGTAGATTATACTGGGTTGAATAAGGTGTGCCCAAAAGACTCATACCCACTTCCCAAAATAGATCAACTGGTAGACGCAACTTCAGGTCACGGAAGGCTCAGCTTCCTAGATGCATTTTCGGGGTATCATCAAATTTCAATGGCCGAGTCTAACCAAGAGAAGATGTCATTTATCACTGACTTTGGCACGTACTGTTACACGACCATGCCGTTTGGATTGAAAAATGCAGGAGCGACGTATCAGAGGATGGCAAACAAAGTCTTCTGTAGGCTGATTGGAGATGTTGTAGAAGTCTATGTTGACGATATGGTGGTCAAGAGCGCTAAGGCTGATGACCATATGACCTGCTTGCTGAAAGTGTTTGAAGTTGCCCGACAAAACAGGTTAAGGTTCAATCCAGAGAAGTGTGTTTTTGGCACTGCAGGAGGAAAATTCCTAGGATTCATGATCACACAAAGGGGGATCGAAGTCAACCCAGACAAAATTCAAGCGATCCTAGAAATGAAAAGTCCCACCAGCAGGAAGGAAGTCCAGAGGTTGATAGGGTGGGTAGCCATCTTAAATCGTTCCATGAGCCGGGCAGCGAACAAATGCTACCACTTTTTCAAAGCTATAGGGGGCTCCTCCAACTTCGAGTGAACCCAAGAATGTGAAGAGTCACTTAGGAGCTTGAAGCAGTCATTACAAGAGCCACTGATCTTGCCCAACCCGTGCCCCGGGAGGTTTTGTGTCTCTACTTGGTAGTCTCGCCAAGGACAGTCAGCGCGGTGCTGGTGAAAAAGTTCTCAAAGGCGCAAAAACCAGTCTACTATGTGAGCCAAGTATTAAGGGGCGCGGAGGAAAGATACAGCCTAGCTGAACAGCTAGTGTTTGCATTGATTGTAGCGGTTAGAAAGCTGAGGCCTTACTTTCAGTCTCATACGGTGCAAGTAATGACCGACCAACCTATCAAGCAGATCCTACATCGGCCCGAGACTTGTGGGAGGATGTTGAAATGGGCAATCGAGTTAAGTGAGTTTGATATTGAATTCAGACCAAGGACGACTATTAAAGCACAAGTTCTAGTAGACTTCATCGTTGAACTCACCCTTCTGCCCGAACACCCACCAGGGGGACAGGCAGATTGGAAAATCTTTGTCGATGAATTTTCGAACGACGTAGGATCTAGGGCTGGGATCATAATGATAGGGTCGAATGGCGAAGAGTTGGAGTACTCGCTGTGTTTTGAATTCCTAGCTACAAATAACGATGCCGAGTATGAGGCAGTGATCACAGGTTTAAGATTAGCAGCCAGACTCGAGGTAACTTCAGTAGAAATTTGCAGCGACTCTCGATTGATAATCGGGCAAGTGACAGGGGAATTCAAAGCAAAAGACGAAAAGATGGCAGCATACTTAATGGAGGTCAAAAACTTGCAGAAGAGGTTCACCAGGTTTAAGATAACTAAGGTTCCGCGAAAGGACAATGAGCGGGCGGACACACTGGCTAAGCTCGCATCCGCTAACCCCAGACATCTATCTCGCACAGCAAGCGTGCAAATTTTGCGGCAACCTAGCATCCCACATACGACAGATGTTATGAATGTAGAGCATGAGGAGAGTTGGATGGACCCGCTGTTTGAATATCTAACAAAGAACAAATTGCCGGAAGATGCTTTCACGGCAAGAAGGCTAAAAATTCGGGCAACCTCGTTTGCCGTCATCGATTGACTGCTCTACTAGCGAGGTTTCACAATGCCGTATTTGAAGTGTTTGCGACCAACAGAGGCACATGAGGTGCTAGTCGAGGTACGTGCGGGAACTTGTGGCAACCACCAAGGGGCCACTGTATTTGCGTTCAAGACGCTTCGACAAGGATATTATTGGCCTAATATGAAGGAAGATGCTAAAGATTTGTTGAGGAAATGCGATGCATGTCAACGCCATGGAAATTTGATCCATGTTCCTGTCGAGCAACAGACGGCAATTTTAGGGGTGTGTCCTTTCTTCCAATGGGGGATGGACATCTTGGGACCTTTGCCCCTAGCTAAGGGACAAAGGAAGTTCTTACTAGTCGCCGTAGACTACTTTACTAAGTGGGTGGAGGCTGAACCCTTAGCCACCCTCACAACTACAAAGGTACAGGGATTTGTCTAGAAGAATATCATATGCAAGTTTGGCATACACAGAGTAATCATTACTAATAATGGAAAACAATTCGACAATCATAGTTTTCGAGCATTCTGCACAAGTGACCACATCGACCACAGGCTGACTTCAGTTGCTCACCCACAGGCAAATGGGCAAGCTGAAGTGACCAACCGAACCATACTATGGGATCTGAAGACGAGGCTGGAAAAGGAGAAAAGGGCTTTGGGTGGAGGAATTGCCCAATGTACTATGGACATATCACACAACTCTCCGAGAGTCGACCGGGGAGACGCCATTCAAATTGGCTTTTGGGATGGAAGCCGTGGTTCCGGTTGATATATTAAGCGAGAGGGGAAGGATGAAAGTCAAGAAACATGATGAAGCAACGACTAGAGGAGAACTCGACCTCCTTGAAGGGGTAAGGGACAAGGCGGCAATAAGAATGATGGCTTATAAACGAAGAGCCGTCGAGTACTTCAACAGGAGAGTCAAGCCAAGGGTCTTCCAGCCAGGAGATCTCGTGCTAAGAGATGCAGCGGCGGCAGGACACCCCCCACCAAAGCTTGGTCCAAACTGGGAAGGCCCGTACGAGGTAATTTGCGGGCTGGGGAAGGGAGCTTATAGCTTGAAAGATATGAAAAGAAGGTCGCTAGGTAGATCATGGAACGCGGAACACCTCAAAAAGTATTACCAGCAGATTTCGAAATGCGCGCACAGGTTGCACTTTTGTAAATACAGTAGACTAGATTGCATCATTTATTTTCTCCATGTAATGCCTCACGAAGGCACCTTTATTTGTAACATTTCCTATTCAATGAAAGACCTTGGCGGTGATGGATAATGAGGGCGCTACGGAAGGGCCAGCCTAGCTAGGACGTCTCGGTACGCCTACTGAGCTCACAAGACCAAGAATTTTTTATGCTAATAGGCAACTTTGAAAGTCACGCTCATCCCACGAAGACATGCTGTCGACATGACCTACGCGGCTAGGTGGAGAGCCTTGAAAAGTCAAACAATTGGCTAAAGCCCTTAACCGCCAGACCACCCCTTGCAGTTGACATAGCCTACGCGGCTAGGCGGAGAGCCTTGAAAAGTCAAAAAATTGGCTAAGGCCCTTAACCGCCAGACCACCCCTGCAGTCGACATAGCCTACCGGCTAGGCGGAGAGCCTTGAAAAGTCAAAAAATTGGCTAAGGCCCTTAACCGCCAAACCATTCCCTGCGGTCGACATAGCCTATACGGCTAGGCGGAGAGCCTTGAAAAGTCAAATAATTGGCTAAGGCCCTTAACCGTCAGACCACCCCCTGCGGTCGACATAGCCTACCGACTAGGCAGAGAGCCTTGAAAAGTCAAAAAATTGGCTAAGGCCCTTAACCGCCAGACCACCCCCTACTGTCGACATAGCCTGCGCGGCTAGGCGGAGAGCCCTGAAAAGTCAAAAAATTGGTTGAGACCCTTAACCGCCAAACCACCTCTTACGATCGACAGAGCCTACACAGCTAGGCGAAGAACCATGAAATGTCAAAAAAGTTGGCTGAGGTCCTAAACCGCAGGACCCCTCTCCCTGTGGACGACATAGCCTGCTACTTAAGCACGGGGTAACATAAGGCTAAATTTGGCTAAGGCCATCAATCACTGGATGTTAGTAAAAAAAAAAAAAACTAACACCCCACACCATCAAGCTGTAAAAAGAAAAATAACACGAGAAACAATAATTTGAAAGAACCACGCACTCAGCACTAATGATATCGAATGAAAAACGTGTTTATACATCCGAGAAATTCTTGCCCACACCCCGAGCAAGTAGGAGATAACAAAACTAAACAAAAGTAAACACAAAAAAGGAAGAGCTAGCAAAGAAAACAACAATTAAGAAATGATTCAGCCCAAAGGGGAGAGATCCCCACTATCGCCTCGTGATGAACGACCAAGCGACTTGGACGACTGAGGTGCACTCTCCTTTCCTTTGCACTGCGCAAGAAATCTATCCAGGCCAGAGGGGTCTATAGAAGGATGCTCGGCCATAATCCACTCTTTGGAGAATTTGATAGACGCTGACATCGCCTTCCCCCCATATGAATTCAAAGCCCTAGCGTAATCAGACGACGTCTTATACTGTTCCACAGATGCCTTGAGATCTCTAGCATATTCAGCTGAGGCCTTATACTTCTCAATTGCCTCCTCAGGAGCACGAGCCAAAACAGAACGTAGGTTGTCGTTCTCCGTCTCCTGCTCGCGAGCTCGAGCATTCGACGTCTCCAGAGATTTCTTCAAGGAAGATATTTTTTTCTTGTAGTGATAAGCCTCTTTTTTCTTTTCTTCAGTGAGATTTTTCAGCTCCGAGGCCAGGCGGCGATTCGATTCTGCGAGTTCGGTCTGGAAGGCCACCACCTAAAAAAAAAATAAGAAAGAAAAAAAAGGGAAGAAAAGGTGAAATCAAGTATTAAAACCTAGCTTAAAAGGCGAGACCCAACATGAAAGAAATTGCGAAATGGGAAACATACCCTCTGGAGATAAATAGCCGCAGCCCTTTCAATATCATCTGCACTACGCCCTGCAATTGCTCTGAAACGAGCAGGTGTCACCAAAGACTTTAGCACCCCCATCTCATGATAACCCCGGGTGGAAGGAAACCCAAAGTTAGGGAGTGAGTCCTCGCACTCGCAACATGTGCGACTGGGAGCTCCCGGCTTAGGAACTGGAGCCACCTCACGAGGTTCGTCTGAAGCTGGGAAGTCTAGTTGATCATCCGAGACTTCTCCCCTGGGTTGGCTGCCCTCCTTCTCTTCGAAGGGATAGGTGATGGATCCAATTCACCCGCCGCCTCACCCTCTTGCCCCTGGACAGGCAAGAAATCCATAACCCCTTCAAGATCAAGCTCTGCCCCTGCACATATAAGTTAGAATCCATTAAGGTCACAAGGTAGAGTAAAAAAAAAGGGGAAGGGGGGAGGAAGGAAGAGGTGAGCACAAGAGCTAACCATCAACAAAGGCATGCCCCTCATCGCCTCCTGGCAGAGTCTTCAATACCCCATCAAGATCAAAGTCCATACCTGAACACACACATCCAAACTCATTAGTTTCGACAAACTAAGAGCAAAAATAATAAGTAAACGTGTGTGCACGCAATAAAAAAAACGATGGAAACAACCTACCGATAGGACAACTCATCCTCACTATCAACATGTTCTTCATGGTCAGAACTGATTCTAAGTCAGGTGCATAAGGTGGTACATCGACCAACTCTTGAATTTGAGCTTCTAGAAAGGGGGTAACTTCTACTTAGCTATTGAAAAGACGAATTTGGGGGTGTTGCCAATTGGTGTTAAAAGAGAATTGACCCATTAAAGGCCGGACGAAGAAGAACCGAGACTTCCATCCACTATTCGAATTTCTAAACTTAGGAAATTGCAAAGGAACCCTAGTAATAAAATAGACAAATGCATTACACTGAACTAGCTCATGCATTTCGAAGACACACCTGAAAAGATCGATGGAAGGTGAAATTCCCTTTTTGATACAGACATACAGAAAATATAACGCTTTTCTCCATGCATTAGCATTAATTTGACTAGGAGCAAGGTGGAACTCGTTGAAAATCGACACAAAAAAGGGATGAATGGGGAATCGAAAACCCCCGTCCATAACATCCTTGTACACGGCTATCTCACGGGGGTCTTTGGAGGATTTGGAACAAACCCCTGAGATTCGATTGAATGAGTTTCACTATCAATATTATGAAGAGATCTACCACATGAAAGATGCGAGTCACTAGAGGGCCGAATCGATGGACCAGGTAGGCCACAAGACTTAAGAGAGGGTGGGGGACGGCCAGCCCGAAGGCTGGCCGTAGGCCGACTAGCCCCGCTGGTCGCCGACCGGCCCCCCGTGGGTCGGTTGGATCCCCTCCCATATCCTCCGACGAAGGTCCGATCGAGTCACTATACCCATCACTTTTCTCATTGGAAGGAGAAGAAAAAATAGTTTTATACAAAACAACAAAGAAGATGAAGAGAAGAAATTCAAAGCAAGACTTTGGATTAAAAGAGGAGAGAAAATTACCTTAGAAGGGAGGAGGCCTAGGATGTTGAGTGAAAGTGAAAGTGATTCTCAAAAATAAGAATTACCCCCCTTTTATAAACACAAAAATTCTAACTTTTGGAGGGAATTTTCCCTCCAATATTGGGACCATTGGTGGGGTGCCATGTGTGTAGTAAAATTACCACTCGATCGCGTTTACATTGTTCGACTTATTAATACGAACTACTCATTTATTAAAAAAAAAAAAAAAAGAGGAAAATTTTCAAACCAACCTAAATAAAGAAAATTGCTACCCCTTGCCGAGAACATCGACAAGGGGTAGGGGCTAATGATATAGGTTGGTAGAGAAAATCGCCCTCGACGGCAAGCAAGATGGATCACAGCACTTCGACGTGAGGTCGTCGACCCCCTAGGGGCGCTCCACCACTACCTCTAGGGGGCGCTCTACCACTACTCGAGGTCGTCGACCCTCTAGGGGCGCTCCATCACTACGTCCAGGGGACGCTTTACCACTATGCGAGGTCATCGACCCCCCAGGGGCGCTCTACCACTACGCGAGGTCTACAACTGGCATGGGATTGCCTATCCAAACACTTAACCATAAAACTCCTAGTGAATTAACTAGGTTCCATGGCCGCAAATACGGAAACAATCTCCAGGCGGGAAACTAGAGACCCCCCCCCCCACTCAGAACGTGGGCATAGTGGGAACGCCAACGTTGGACACGTGGCACCACATCCGCCCAACGGTTATCCGGCCCCTAATGTCTATAAATACCTCCGGACGCGACACAGGAAAAAGGTTTTCTCTCTCTATCTCTCTTTTTCACCATTAGAATTCCAATCACATTTTTTCAAGCCTATAAACTAATGCTCACACCGGAGGTAAAATGGGAGAGGAAGCCCCGCCTTCATTTTTCAGGTCATATATACTGGACGGAGTAGACGAAACACCGAGCACTACCAGGCAAATAGGAGGGTGTTGGTCCACCACCATCTCAACTTCTATATTCTAGCTAAATAATAAATAAACTAAAACCTTACAATTATAAATTAAAAACAACATTTTTAAAACCAAACTTGTCCTAAGGAGTGAATTTTATATTGGTTTTCTTTGGTTCCTCTTTGTAATAAATTGTAAAACAACATTGAATCTTTATCGCAGACACTCTATCGACTCCACCCTATTCTTTGCCTTTGAATTTGACACGTGATAAGCAATGATACATTACAATTTCGAACATTGATTTTGATTTAAAAAAAATAGTAGCAAATTTTTGGTCAAAATGGGTAAAGGTTGTGATTTCCATGAAGTATATGACAGGAAAGGAACCTAATTAAACGCAGATAAAAATAATATTGGATCATATGTGGAAGATTGGCTTCAGATTATCAATTAACTGTAATAAAGCTAACTAGAACATGAATAAACTTCAAGAAACATGGATTTAATGTGGTTTAACCGAATTATTTTCCACTGTGATCAACAATAATGGAATTACAATTTCTTTAAATAATACTAGAAGCTCACAATATCATCAAGAATTCAACAATTTTTGATTGACTAATAATTTATAATTTACAATATGAATTACGGAGAACAACTAACAAATAGAACGTTTTACTGTCTCGCTAAGTGGAAATGAATTGAAAAACAAGACCGGCATGATGGTAGAGCATGTTGTGAAGATCCTCGAATTAAAATTTGAAACAAAATCGATATTTTTTCTGAGAACAATTAATAAAACGTTTGACTATCTCATAAGTGAAAAACAAATTGAAAAACAAGACTGACATGATGGTAGAGCATGTTGTGAAGATTCTCCAATTAAAATTTGAATCAAAATCGACAT